ATCTGGATATTCTATTAACAATTTTCTTAAATATTTAATATCCATTTTAAAAAGATCATAGTTATTATCAAAAAGTCGATTTCAAAAGCAAGAAAAAGTATTTTTGATATCAATCAACAACCATATTGAATTTTATTTGACAGTAACAGTTCGTTTTAAGCCTTGGTTTCTTTGAACACTTCGTCGCGGTGAGCGGACAGTCCGTCAACCGTCGCGTTTTGACGATTTTATCCAACCAGAGTATTTAAATGGGAATGGTTTTCTTGAATCCGCTTAGTTGAACAGGACGGCGTCATGCCGCTGATTTGTCGCGAAGAGTCAGTTGATATCTGTTGAGTTTGATATCAGCGGAATCGTCGGCGTGTGCGGAAACTATATTGTTATTAATTTTAAAACAATGAGTGACAAATTCACATACAGATGACATCATGACTTTATTTTTAGAAAGTCTAAAATACTTCCTAAATTTGATTTCATTTTCAAAAAGCCTCCACTGCACAGTGATATTAAAGGCACCTTCCGTATCGCGACAAAAAAACAACTCATTCACTGGCTTATTGGAAACTTTGACGGTTGCAATTGCCAGTTCCTCTTGTTCTTTCTCTTCCAACAATAATAACAAGGAAAACAATTTATTTGCAACCATTTTAGTACCTTTCGTTTACATTCATAATACATAAACAGCACGTACAGACATAGAGAAAGTATCATTTTCTATATTTTTTAACAAACCATCTCGGGCGAAAATTGCTGTCCTCAGCGGTCGACGGACTGTCCGCTCACCGCGACGGAGTGTTCAAAGAAACCAAGGCTTTAGACATACATTTCAGATCACAATTGTGAAATTTGCGACCGTTGTCTGGGACCAATAAAAAAATAACTTGTATACCTAACATTTATTCGTTTCTTAACCGCTCATTCGCAGTTCACCGACTTAAGCCTTGGTTTCTTTGAACACTTCGTCGCGGTAAGCGGACAGTCCGTTAACCGTCGCGTTTTGACGATTTTATCCAACCAGAGTATTTAAATGGGAATGGTTTTCTTGAATCCGCTTAGCTGAGCAGGACGGCGTCATCCGCTGATTTGTAGCGAAGAGTCGGTTGATATCTGTTGAGTTTGATATCAGCGGAATCGTCGGCGTGTGCGGAGACTATATTCTTATTAATTTTAAAACAATGGATGACAAATTCACACTTACATCATGACTTTATTTTTAGATTTCTTGGAAATTATGTTCTTTATAAAACTCAACACGAATTCAAAAAGATCTGTAGAAAGTCTAAAATACTCCCTAAATTTGGTTTCATTTCCAAAAAACCTCAGCTGCACAATGATATTAAAGGCACCTTCTATAGCGCGACACAAAAACAACTCATCCACTGGCTTATTGGAAACTTTGACGGTTGCAATTGCCAGTTCCTCTTGTTCTTCCTCTTCCAACAATAATAACGCAAACAATTTATTTGCAACCATTTTAGTACCTTCCGTTTACATTCATAATACATAAACAGCACGTACAGACATAGAGAAAGTATAATTTTCTATATTTTTTAACAAACCACCTCGGGCGAAAATTGCTGTCCTCAGCGGTCGACGGACTGTCCGCTCACCGCGACGGAGTGTTCAAAGAAACCAAGGCTTAAGGCCGAAAAAGTAACTATTTCATAAATTTTAAACACGACTATATTTCGAAACACGCTCTTAGTAACAAATCTAGTTACTTTTCTCTGTGTAAATGCGTCTTTTCAATTCGCTCCTCCTAGTTAAAAAAACAGAGTATTATTATTATCTTTCTGAGGTTAGGAGTTAGGAATAACTACTTTATAAATGTTAGAAGAGATTTGTCATGTATCCGAAAAAGAGGTGGTTCTTATAGATGTAAAAAAACTATTTAAATTGGACCCATCAACGTACTTTAAGAAATAAAAAAATTTGAGAACATTTCCAACACAGATCCGCAGTACTTACCTATACCACAGTTTATAGCTACAGAATCAGTTCGCTCACTCTGCGTCGGCACTTTTGATCTCAATGTTCAAGTTTATACACTACGCAACTCGGATTTGTATCCCTGGCGCATACAGAATCAATTGATAACCAATACAATATATGACAACCGCATATATTCAAGCAGCATTCTTCTGCGCATCCTGAATTTGTATCCCTGGAGTGGATATTATTTTGGAACATCCAATTGGTCCGAGTGAGCGAACTGATTCTTTTAAGCTATAAACTGTGCCTATACAATAAAACCATCCGTTGTTTTCAACAGTAATATTCGGAATTGTGCTTCTTTGCAATAATATCTAAGATAGTTATTAAAAGAAACAACTAATAAAGACCAAGAAATTTTGTAACATAGAAATTGACATGAAAATAATAGTAACCAATAACTAAAAGTATGGGCAATAACAAAAAATAAAATAGATAGGTTACTTACCACATAAAATTGTAAATAAATTATTGAGAATAATTAAACGCACAAATAAAATTAAACAAAAAAAAGATGCAAGAACCTTATTGTAAACTCCCAGAAAATTGAACATAGTTTTTATGTGACCAGAACCTAATGGTATATTATAATTTAAAAACTCTATGGCTTAAAAACATGTTTTGCATACAATAAGTACTTATTCATTTGATCTTTCCTTCATTAATCCTCCTAAACCACTGCAAATTTTAATAGCAGTAACAGTAAACCTACATAACCTATAAAAATAGTTTTAGTTTTTTACAGGTATAACTCAGTGGTAAAGGGGTTTTGATATAAGTTATATAATAGATACTAGGTACACATATAACGTAGTAGTAATAAATAATATGATACATGCAAATGAAACTTACATAATTAAGTTATAACAACCATGTTTTGTACATAAAAGCAACGAAAGTATAAGTTATAAAATAATAAGTTAAATAATATTAAGATTCAGCCATTTTATTCGGTAAAGAGAAATAATCTGTAATCTGTATTATACTTGCAATATGTAGATAAAATTAGGTTACATTATTTACATTATTTAAAATAACGATTATTTTGAAATATTTCTAAAATTTTTTTTCGTAATTTTTCAAATAAATTTTAAAACCATTATTTTAAGAACATTATAAAGCGCACTAATTTTTACAAACTAAAATTAAATGTTACTCCATAAAATTTGTTTCGTCAGAAAATTTAGGTAGATTACACCAACTTTTTAGACAAAAGTCTAGTTGCCATTAGTGAGATATTTATGATGTAATGTCATTTTGTAAGAAGTAACTCTAAAATGTTGGACTTCATTAGATATATAAAAAATAACCTATATATAAAACCAAATTATATCATGACATAACAACTTTGAACAACGTTTTTATATCCATTTGTAATTACCTAATAACATTTTCTTTTTATAAAGTTATACGTTAGTTATAAATGGAGTTATTATCCAACAAAAGTCGCATAATAATATATATTATGTACATATAATAACGGTATAGTCTATTAGAAATATATGTAAGTTGTTGAGTTTTAAGAAACGTTGTTGCAACGTCGGTATAACCCTTATATAACTTTTTATGTTACTTGGGTATAAACTTTTAAATGGTTTTGTATTATTTTATGTTTAGCGGATTTTAATTATGCGTTATTTGTATGTAACGTCTGTGGTAACTAAAAAATGTATGTACATTTTCATTTGACTTAAAGTTCAATGTCACATAAAATCAGAAAACCTAAAAGCATTGGCAACTTCGCATAATGAAACAACTTTTGCCTTCGAAACTGCGTGATTGGAAACGAATTGCTACGAGGGACCTTTAAATGGGTATGGCCATTTACTCTCTCTTAATTTTAATGTTCTTTTTTAACTTTCGCATCTGTGTAATCTGTGTTATAACTACATAAACTGAAATGCCCATCTTTATTTTTCAATGGAATTATTAATTGTGTCTTCCATATAAAATGCAGCCATCAGCCAGCCCTGCGAGTTTAGGGGAATACTTTTTTATTCGCGGATGCAAAACTCAATAACGTATATTTGTTACGTAGTTGTTAACTAGAGACAGCACTTATCGGGTAATTTTATTTTGTTTCTTTTTTGGAGGACTTGTAAAGACTTCTCCCTTCCCTTGCACGGCCCTAACTTGAATTGCGAATTAATTTTACATATAGTCAGTTTTTTAGCTCGGGTATCTACAGCTTAAGCCTTGGTTTCTTTGAACACTCCGTCGCGGTGAGCGGACAGTCCGTCGACCGCTGAGGACAGCAATTTTCGCCCGAGGTGGTTTGTTAAAAAATATAGAAAATGATATTTTCTCTATGTCTGTACGTGCTGTTTATGTATTATGAATGTAAACGAAAGGTACTAAAATGGATGCAATTAAATTGTTTGCGTTGTTATTATTGTTGGAAGAGGAAGAACAAGAGGAACTGGCAATTGCAACCGTTAAAGTTTCCAATAAGCCAGTGGATGAGTTGTTTTTGTGTCGCGATACAGAAGGTGCCTTTAATATCACTGTGCAGCGAAGGCTTTTTGGAAATGAAACCAAATTTAGGGAGTATTTTAGACTTTCTACAGATCTTTTTGAATTCATGTTGAGTTTTATAAAGGACATAATTTCCAAGAAACCTAAAAATAAAGTCATGATGTCATCTGTATGTGTGAATTTGTCACTCATTGTTTTAAAATTAATAACAATATAGTCTCCGCACACGCCGACGATTCCGCTGATATCAAACTCAACAGATATCAACCGACTCTTCGCGACAAATCAGCGGCATGACGCCGTCCTGCTCAGCTAAGCGGATTCAAGAAAACCATTCCCATTTAAATACTCTGGTTGGATAAAATCGTCAAAACGCGACGGTTGACGGACTGTCCGCTCACCGCGACGAAGTGTTCAAAGAAACCAAGGCTTTAGACATACATTATATTACCCACTAAAGACCGGCTTTTATTTATTAAATTAAACCAATATTTCACAATATTCAATAATCTTCAATGACCAGAGAATCCATACCATAGAGATAAACCTTATTATTATATATATTACGCAATGTCCTTGATAAGTAAACTTGTTTACTTATAATCATGCTAGGGAAAAGCCACAGAATAAATTAATTAGGTAACACATTGTATACAAATCAGTTGTGTTCCTACTGCTCCTCAACTTGATCTAGGTATTCAATTGGAATTATTTAAAAACATCTGTAAGAAAAAGATGGCTTTTAAACATTTTTTCCTTTGTTTGTTATTATGTTTGGGGATTTTACAAATCGGAAATTCTTCAAAATTGACAAAAGGAGGGTCTCATGATATTAAGAAAATTTTGGTAATCGGAGCTACCGGTCAAGCTGGATCCAGAATGGTAAAGGAAGCAGTGGATAGAGGTTAGTTAAAAGTGTATTTAATGATTTATAAAACGTAAATGACGTGAGACGTGTGTCTTTATATTTCTCTTTTGATGGAGACTTTAGTATATTCAGGATAATCCTGGCAAATTTTAGGTACCACAGAAATTGTCCTTAAAGGTAGGTATTATGATTATGTAATATTTCGTTTTTTAAATATCTAATTTGTAATAGATTATCGTCATATTTGCAATAAAATATCAATCCAACAACATGGTTTTGTAGGCTCTAATATTTCACAATTAATCTCTAAAAATACTAAAAAATCTGAGACATATTTTACATCTATTTTTCCAATGCGTTTGGTTTGTCCGATTCACTTGACAAATCATTTTACTACTTTTAAACCTAAAAAATCCGATTTTGTTACTATTTAAATTAGAGCGTGGACCAAGAGAGCCATAAGCCCATATTAACTAATATAGAACATCATTATATGTTAATGTTAATCTGAAAATAGAAAATTATCAAGTTCGTTCTTGAAAACATTAACAGACGGAGTATTTACAACATTCTCCGGTAGAGAATTCGATTAATTAAAAAGTTTTGCCTCGTTTATTGAAAAATGGTTTTTTTGTCAGCTTCGATTTATGACCATATAGTCGACGTTCACTGTCCATGATAAACATACATTCTAAGTTTCCAAAATTATGTTTTAAAATACGATTTTGTCATATATTTTGCTTCATTTATGATCAGTACAAGGTGAATCCTAAGTTGATAATTTTTTTTAACTGTGTCTGGAAGTCATTGAAAAAATAACTTTTTTAAATAACTTTCTCAAATATTTTTATCAAAATGTATACAATACGGTCCTGTCTAACTTAAACAATGTGTTCAAAGTTTTCACAATTCACTTTAATACAAACGCACTTCATGTCTTCTCGATCTTTCTACATGTCCTCTACGATATTGTTCCAAATTATCCGTATCCTAATCTTAGCCTGTTGAGCTAGATTAAAGAAAGTTCTGGAACTACAATGGGATCGCGTTTAGTATACAACACCAGTGTAATAGCTTCACTTTAAAAATACAATTTCATTGTTGTCATAATTTATCATATTGAACAATTTAAATTCAATACTTTAAATAAACACGGTACTGAAATCATACGCGACTGAGTTACAATAACTGGTGGGTAACAAACCATGATTCATGAAATAAAAACGAAGAAAAACGAAGAAAAACGAAGAAAAACGAAGAAAAACGAAGAAAAACGAAGAAAAACGAAGAAAAACGAAGAAAAACGAAGAAAAACGAAGAAAAACGAAGAAAAACGAAGAAAAACGAAGAAAAACGAAGAAAAACGAAGAAAAACGAAGAAAAACGAAGAAAAACGAAGAAAAACGAAGAAAAACGAATAAAAACGAAGAAAAACGAAGAAAAACGAAGAAAAACGAAGAAAAACGAAGAAAAACGAAGAAAAACGAAGAAAAACGAAGAAAAAACGAAGAAAAACGAAGAAAAACGAAGAAAAACGAAGAAAAACGAAGAAAAACGAAGAAAAACGAAGAAAAACGAAGAAAAACGAAGAAAAACGAAGAAAAACGAAGAAAAACGAAGAAAAACGAAGAAAAACGAAGAAAAACGAAGAAAAACGAAGAAAAACGAAGAAAAACGAAGAAAAACGAAGAAAAACGAAGAAAAACGAAGAAAAACGAAGAAAAACGAAGAAAAACGAAGAAAAACGAAGAAAAACGAAGAAAAACGAAGAAAAACGAAGAAAAACGAAGAAAAACGAAGAAAAACGAAGAAAAACGAAGAAAAACGAAGAAAAACGAAGAAAAACGAAGAAAAACGAAGAAAAACGAAGAAAAACGAAGAAAAACGAAGAAAAACGAAGAAAAACGAAGAAAAACGAAGAAAAACGAAGAAAAACGAAGAAAAACGAAGAAAAACGAAGAAAAACGAAGAAAAACGAAGAAAAACGAAGAAAAACGAAGAAAAACGAAGAAAAACGAAGAAAAACGAAGAAAAACGAAGAAAAACGAAGAAAAACGAAGAAAAACGAAGAAAAACGAAGAAAAACGAAGAAAAACGAAGAAAAACGAAGAAAAACGAAGAAAAACGAAGAAAAACGAAGAAAAACGAAGAAAAACGAAGAAAAACGAAGAAAAACGAAGAAAAACGAAGAAAAACGAAGAAAAACGAAGAAAAACGAAGAAAAACGAAGAAAAACGAAGAAAAAACGAAGAAAAACGAAGAAAAACGAAGAAAAACGAAGAAAAACGAACAAAACGAAGAAAAATGAAGAAAAACGAAGAAAAACGAAGAAAAATGAAGAAAAATGAAGAAAAACGAAGAAAAACGAAGAAAAACGAAGAAAAACAAAGAAAAACAAAGAAAAATGAAGAAAAACGAAGAAAAACGAAGAAAAACGAAGAAAAATGAAGAAAAATGAAAAAAACGAAGAAAAACGAAATTTAAATAAGTGACAATCCTGTCAAATTAATTGTCATTATATTTTTAATTATTAAGATTAAATATACATTAAAATTAGTTATTTTGTCTTAATAACCTAAAATATTTTTTTAATTTGTAGATTTCCGTTAGTAAATCTTAGAAAAAATATACTGTTCAACTCGAGTGGATTGTCCATAATGCACTAAGACTCTTGAGCACTCCGCCCATGGCGCCGTGCCCAAATTTCGTCTTTCGTGCGATATGGCCATCATATCCACTCTTGTTGCACAAACTACTATTTTTATCGTGTTGTGATATGAAATATATTCGTTTAGTTGAACGCAATAATGGCATATTTTTTCGTTTTGTAATCAAGTCACAATCGTATATTGCACTTCTAACATATCGTTCGGATAATGGAGGAAGAACCTTCACCTAGAATATTTTCGAGATATATTGCGACACGTCAAGCGTCCTTTCCAACACTTTTGCGACCCTCGTGCAGTGTCTCCTATTTCGACGCATTGTGGGCGGAGTTGTCACAATAACTGATTGCAGCCAATGCAGCCCAGGAATATATAGCGGTAAAACTCATATCCAGATCTTCTCGCGCAAAAGTGAGAGAAATTAAAGTGAGGAGACCAAAACTCATGCTATTCCCCAACCTACCCTCTCGCAAATCTTAAATATCCTGCAAAATATGCAACGAAACAGTCAAAAGGGAAGGAGGTATTTCAATTATGGAAGAATCGGACACCTTCAAAGAACCTGTAGAAGCATGGCTCGTTCTATAAATCGAGAATCAGGGAATGTGGCCGGAAAGTCACATAGATCAAGATCAATCTTCCAAAGCCCGTCACGAAGTCCAACAAGAAATAGTCACAGCAGCTATACGTCCCGAAGAAGCCAATCACCCACACCTAGTTGGCTTTCTAGCAATAACCAGGAAGTAGAGCATCGAAGAGGCCGTCTCCATAGCAACGCAGACATTTTCTTCGGGAAACCACCATCAAGCCAGAGGGCGAAGAAGAAATCACCCTTGAAAGCCTTAGAAAGAGACAGAAGAAAGACAATGACTTGAAGGTTGTCCGAGAATAGCTTAAAAATAAAGTCAAACCTACTTGGCAAGAGCTAGCCAAATACAGTGGAGCTATTAAAGGGTACTGGACTGAGTGGGATTGCCTGTATCTTCACGATGGCCTGTTGCACCAGAAGTGGGAGAGCCCCGATGGATTACATGTAGCCCGACAAGTGGTACTGCCGAAATCACATGTCAGAAGTGTGTTGAAGGAGCTTCACCGAGAAAGACTTTGTCAGAAATCGCAACGGAACTGGGAAGGCCCCTACGCCATCCTTAAGGAAGATCAACGACCTGATCTATCGCATTTAGCAGTCAGCGAGAAGTTAGCGCCATACCGTGGTCCAGATCCTCCCCGTTAGCTCCAACCAGGTCCCAGTAATCAAGTTATTCGGGGCGAATAACTAGAGAGGAGGTAGCAATGTTACGCAGCACCCTCCAGCGTGCTGCGGTCGTCATAAGTAAAAGTAGGAGAAAAATAAAATAGAATAGTCCAGAAATGTCATTACTTGTCAAGGAAAATATAAGGTATTTTTTAGCGAGTGTATGGTTTAAAATATTTTCGACTGTTTTAAACCGTTTAAATTTTAGTGATGCAACTATGACGTCGCCTACGAAATATTTTAAACCAAAGCTAGAAATTTTGAACCAGTCGGAGGCATATGATTCAATAACGGTTGACACATAAGAGATTCTGATTGTGGCTGTTGTATGTTGTTTTGCTCTGTTCCATCTTTGAACATTTTGATATATTTGACGTTTTGTTGATTTTTATTGATTTTTGATAACTTCATACATATATTATGTGATTCATACATTAATTGGTTATAATGTTTTAATACAAATATTAATATTTATGGTCATCATAAACAGTTGGACAATGTGATCTACCTATGGGTTACTCTTGATTATGAAACAATAATTCAATTAAAGTAAGGTTAAAGGATTACTTATCGTACGTTTTTTACAAAAATAATTACGTAGTTTGCTTCAGATTCTGAATTTGCCAGCCAATATTTAAAAGCAATTAAACGTTCTTTGGCAGTTGATGAACTTTGGAAAAGCCCAACAAATCTACAGCAAATAATCGTTAGACAATCGCGTATCTGTGGAACTACGGAATAAATATGATATCATCTGTTTATTGACAAGAAAAATACCAAAAATAAAATAATAACGTTTCAGATTCCAATGTACCTATTAAAAACACTTCAATTTTTACTTAAAATCGCTATCAAACACTTATCTTCCTTCATCTGATTTAACAATCATTAAAAAAAAATACGATCAAAAAATTTTTGTCATATGACAGCAGATTATATTTTTAAAACACCCTATTTTTGCCATCTATTAATTCATGACGTCACTTTAAATATGGTTTAAAAAATATTTTAAACCAATGTGGTGGCTAAAAAACAACTATAGACAGTTTGAGAAGGTTCGAAAACTACCTATACACATACTTTGATTTTCTTTTCCTATACGGAGAATGGTCGCACTGCGCAGCGTTCTGAGTGCCTTTTAAAAGGAGATAGAAAACTCCGCCATTTTGAACCCTTATTACGTGTTGCCTATATCTTGGCGCAATATTTTTAATAGGTGCGTTTTAATCATCCGCTTCTGCTTCGGAATTGTCGGTTTTCTTGTTTTAATCTGACAGGTTAGAACGACTGAACCGACAATTCCGGAAGCAGAAGCGGACGATTAAAACGCACCTGACATTTTGCTTGCTGCTGTCAGTGTCAGTGAATATTATTTTTGGAGTCACAGTTTATTGCTAAAGAATCAGTTGGCTCACTCGGACCAGTTGAAAGTTCCAAAATAACATCCACTCCAGAGATACAAATTCAGGATACGCAGAAGACTGCTGTTTTATTGTAGGCGGTTGTCATATATTGTATTATCTGAGTTGCGCAGTGTATAAACTGGAACATTGAGATAAAAAGTGCCGACGCAGAGTGAGCGATCTGATTCTTTAGCTATAAACTGTGTCATAGGGTTCAAAATGGCCGCGTCCTATGTTGGGCGTGTCGGACCTCTCTCTTGCCCCGTATAGTAATCAAAGTATGTGTACCTATATAAGTCGATGATCCTGATGTCAGTTTTCAGTTTTATGATGACGTTATGCGTTAATGTTATCATTTGTATCATTATTGTAAAAGATGAGTTGAAATAAATTGAGATACCAAAAAGCTGCTTAATAATATCAAAATCTGTTGGTGCATATAGGTACCTATCACATTTTAAAGACGTTGAAGATTTTTGGTACCACTAGCCTAAAGTGATCATCCGTCCCGATTTTAAACCACTAGTCCAGATTTAGCATGTGTCTTGCTTTTGTCTAACAAAAAATATATGAATATTTCAATTTTTATGGTGACGTGACAACCCACTCTTTTATATATATTTTGCTCTTAAATGAACCAAACCGGCACTACTAAAAAGATAATTCGTAGAAATATCTTCTTGTTTTTGATTTGTCCCGCTTTCTACTTTTCAAAATATGGTCCCTTTACACTAACTAGCCCATGGAGGAAGGATAAGTAAACTAGCCTCTACAACCCTTAAGTGTTTTAAAAGTAAATTAAACGTTATTAATTGTTTATAATTACTTACTTATTTGAAAATAATATAGCTCTATTTCATAAGTGATTTAGTTGTTTTTTATTTTGAAAGGGTTATTTAAACAATTTTTAAAACAATAATATAGATATTATGTTTTTAATTTCACAATAAGTAAGTATATTTAAAAATGGTAACAAATAAATTATCTTAATCTTAATGTAAGCAAAAAAATGTAATGTCATGTCCTACTATATCAAGAAAAACAATTATGAGTGTTCCATAAATAACAGCATTTTAAAAAGATCTGTCACCTTTGACGATTTTGATGTAACCTTTGAATTGAACTTTACATATTGATACCATTATGGTACCCGCTAATCTTATGTATTAATCATATCTCGTAGTAATAAATTTTTTGTATAAAAGCACTCTTATATATTTTTATTGCTGTTACCTCGGGTCCACACCGCCGAGAACATTGTTAGCTAACAAATGTTCGTGAATAGTTGTTTGCTAACAATTTTTCTTAAATAATGTTAACTAAGATACCTCGTCCAGACCAAATAGTTGTTAGTTGAATGTTCGCCAGGATCGTCATAATTCATAATGTATAATGTCTAGTAGCAATGAGGACGACCTTATTATTTTGTGTAGTGCCAACAGTTGTATTGAACTTTCAAACAAAAAAAAGCAAAACGTTGTTGAAGAAACGATCAGAAAGTTTTCTTTTGAGGGGCTTAATGGAGGATAGCAGTGGTTTTAAGAACTTTACAAGAATGTCGGCAACTGATTTTGAATATTTAATAAATTTGATTGATCCAAAGGTTGTTCGCCAAAACACCAACTATAGGAAATCAATTACTACAACAGAAAAACTAGTTGTAACTCTAAGGTTTCACCTTGTTATCTGACGATTCTCTCGTTTTCATTGAATCAATACCTTAAAAAAATTCGAAACTCTCATCAAACTTTCTCTCTTAAAAGGTGATGTTTATAAAATCCGTTCTTAGTGGGTATCTACGTCGAAAAATGAGTAACTATGTCAAATTTCAAGTCAATCGTGTTTATAGTTTTGGATCCTGAGTTACGTCATCTATTTATAATGATTAGCTACAATTTCAATTTTCAAGTTCCCTTCTTTAAAGAAATCTGTACTCCTATACAAATGTATACCCCAACTTCCCCCCTAAAAATGTAATAATCCAAAAACTCGGAAATACGTTATTATTTATTTCTGATGAGTGAATATAATTCCAATTTTCAAGTTCCTGCCTTTAAAAAATTTATACTCCCCCTCTACAAACTTTCACCTCCAATTCCCCCCCTTTGAAATGTAAGTATCAATAAACCCTGAAATACATCATTTTTCATTCATAATGGGTAGTTAAAAGATGTTGACCGTAAAAATTACAAATTATTAGTATTGCAGTCGTGTCGACCCCCATTTTTTAATACTTTTCTCCACGTTTCCAATCACTTTAAGTCAGAAAATGCAAAAAAGGTTCGTCTGATCTTCTGTGCGTATGTATGCTAGCAGGATAACTCTAGAACGAAACTCCGATCGACTTGCGGTTTTGATCTTCTTGAATTTAGGACCCTATTAATTTTTAGAATTTTCAGATCAACTTAACTACTTTAAATATCAACGTTTTTAAAATTCAATACATTTCTTATGGAGCTTATAAATTTTATTCACTCCAACATAGTGAAATCAAACTAGATGGACAGCTTTTACCTGTACAACCACAGATATATGTTTTTTTATTACAGTCACTCTTAAATATCCAATGTCTCAAACCTCCAATAAAATATTTTGCCTAAGACACTTAGGAATGTGACACGTATCGCACTATTTAGTCTTATGTCCGCATCAACTTTTAAATAAGTTTTTTTTTTTAATTATCAGAGCTCTCGAGATGTGTAGCCGATCGCCACCCTTAATGAATCACCCACCTACGTTTATTTTTTTATTATTTTATTTAACGTCGGCTTATTTATAACCACGAGGTTTAAACACCGATGCTGGTGAGCACGCTACCCCCAAATACCAGAAATTTAGCCGACTCCTCTGGTGTTCCAACCAGAGGTAGGAATCTTTTACATATCCTCTCAAAGATGGCACACTCCACACGATACCTCGTACTCAATAGGCGAGTTCGGATAGTCAGGGGCTGGAGCGGGACAAAAGCGTTTTTTTTAGGGTGCTTTTAAATGACATTTAAGCGTGTTAAACTGTCACTAATCGGACTAAACCGAACGCTAAAAGGGTCGTTTGGAGTAAAAAGTGTTAAAGGAATTAAAAGAACGTGGCAGACCGAACGCAATGTATAGGTCTTTTCCTTTGCATCGAAAGTGTAGCGCTGAGCTACGTCACTTCTGAAAATATCGTTCTATCCATACAATCTGTATAAACGGAACGATATTTTCAGAAGAGGTGTAGCTCAGTGATACACTTTCGATGCAAAGGAAAAGACCTATTGATATAACGTCTGCCAGCTGTAGTATGCAACTAAGCGAGCAATTTGTTCATTGATCTGTGATTTGTTCGGACGTACGCTGACTTTCGTGATGGTCACTAATCCACTGCGCTCGGTCTAGCTTGATTGCAAATATCGATACACAATGCGCTAGTTCAGTGTGATGTCATTTTGGTCTTTAAAGACGACTGACTTGAATTGAGCTCGTTGTAAGCATTACATTACAAAATTTGTGATTACAGTATGGATATTTTCGTTTTCTGACGCTGATTACTGAATGCTCGTTATTACATTATAACGTTTTGTTACAAGTGTATTATCATTTGTGTTGTAGTTGTAACATTGTCCTGCCAATGTTGTTGGATAATAATGCTTCTATTATTATATTGGTAAAATATTTTTATTTTCTTTTAGGTTTACAAGTTAGGACCTTCTCTAGAAACACGAGTAAGTTATCTGAAGATGTTAAAGACAAAGTAGAAGCAGTAGCAGGAGATATCCAAAACTACGACGATGTTCAAAAAGCTGTCAAAGGAGTCGATGCAGTTATTGTTGCTATTAGTCCTCGCAGTTATGAAGATACTTCCAAGTAAGTAGTAATAATAATAATAAGTGTCTTGTTTTAATGTGATGTTGGTAACGTTTTAGAACAATGTCGTAGAATTATATATACCTATTTTGGTTAAATTAAGACTAATTTATTCTTCGTTTACAAATGTCAGAGCAGTATTTACACGCAGGTTATTTAGACTGCAGCCTATGGACATGAACCATAAGAAAAACTGTTTAAAAATTTTAAATTCAATAGACTAAAATAAAAAAAAATATTTCGCCACGAATAATCATAAAAAACGCTTACGAAGTTATTTGGCGTTTTTTTCTCGTACATTTCGTCTACTGTAAAATGAAACAAATCAAAAAGTATGTGCAAAATCTTAACTGTAATAGTAACAATTAAAGCCTGTTAATATTTTCTTCTAAATTTTGAGTTAAGGACATTTTGATCCGTGGAATATTCCGTATCTCCATGTGATGCTACCCGAGTCCTTTTGACTGACCGTATCAAAAGATTGTGAAGCCTACCACTTAAATAAAAATGGTGCCTGAGTGTTTCTGAGTTTAAGGTGTTACAAGTAGTAATAGTGTTTTTTTCTATGGCGAGAAGACCTCTTACGCCTTTTTTAAATTCCCATAACTTTTTGTTTGAACCTTGTTTGCGTGTCTATAACACAAAATTAAATATGGAAGTAAAATTTGTTTGTTACTTTTCTTTTTTATCTTGCATTTGCCTTATATACTTGCAATTTAAATACGTTACTGTTAAAATTGAAATACTGATTCTTGCATCTATATAGATGTGAATCTCAATATTTCAATAATAGTTTTTCATATTTCATAGAGTGATTTTAGTTAGTTACTTGTCATTTCTAACAATTAAAATATACAGTAAAGCAAATAATAAAGCAAAATATGTTTACACAGACTGCACACGTCTTCACAAGAAATTATTCCATAGTGTAATCAAATTATGATTTGACCTGGGAAAAATTTGCTTCAGAAGCGATTGAAGTGGCATTCAACTCAATAAATATTGTTTTTTAACCTTATCCAAAATCCATTAAAAACGACAATGGGAAAGTACAGAAAAATCAAATTCAAAATGGGTGCCCTTTTTCTAAATTGTCGTTTTTGTTACTATATATCCGCTAGCATTATTTAAATCAGGAACTCAATAAAGAAAACCTGACGAGCCTCAGTTAACCTTTGCACTACTAAAAAAGTGTGACAATTTGGACACAGCAGATGTTTCAGAAACTCAAGTTAATGCCCAGTACATTTTAGATAGCGGATCCTGTACTTTGGAAGACTGGTGATAAATTCTTACGCAAACTTCGCATTTCATAATAATTATGGCAGAGCTATTTTTGTGTTCGGTGACGATAGTGTTACTTGCTTTAAGGACATGACTCGCAGAAGACTCATCACATCCAAATTAAGCAACTGGCAAATGATACAAATGAGCAACGTTTCATTACGAAATTATCTTCAGGATGCTTTACTTAAATGACCGTGGCAGCGCATCTCAGTTTCTCAGCTGCAAAAGCGTATATTTTTCAATAATTGAGTCACATTTAAGATATGGTATTTGTTTTTGGAGGGCGTGTTCTTTAGAATTAATTAATAGGGCATTTGTTCTCCAAAAAAGGGCTGTACCTTATTTGTCTAAAATTTCTGCAGTAACCCCATGCAGACCTCTATTCTTACAGAATAAAATCTTCACTATAATGAATTAGTACATTTTTGAGATATGTTTGTTTGTGTTTAAAAAATACAAAAGTGAGATATGTATATTATCGAATCACAATACCAAATTAACTTATTATACCATTGCCAATTATTATTAGTGATTAAAAACAATGACTGTGATTCAGATTCCTAATTTTGCTTATTTCATTCCATAAGCAATGTGTTCTTACTTGTCAATTAATTCGAAAAATATAAAAACACATTTACACTTTCGATTCGTCGATTTGTCTACAGACGATGCTGCGTCATGAAATAGTGCCGGAGTTATTTTCAATGCTTAAATATTTTTAATCATTTAATTAGAAGTTTTGATTTTCATAACATTCAGCGTTGGTCTCACAGGTAATTTTAATCAGTCTTAAAATACAGATTTAGGTATATAAAGAAATGTAATAGTTAATTAACGACCTAGTGTATTAATTGCCTTTTAATATAAGAGTTCATTAAAAGATTTTTTGGCGACTGAATCTCTGTTAAAATGAAAAAATCAACCTTCAAATTTGGTTCAAATTTCAATGTTTGACTTGGCAGTGTCAATTTGCTTATATCGTTACAAAAAAAGTATAGTCATAGACAAACGATTATTAATAGAAAGTAGACCATTAATGAGGCCAATTAACGTTCGATTTTGTCAACATTATGTGGCTGGATTAATACACGCTTAACGGAAAAATACGTACAGTTGGTTTCACATAAAATGGGCTCGTAAAAAACCAAGGTTTCTATATGCACCTGGTTATGACCTGCTAATTGTTGTTGTTTAATGACAGGTATAAGACGGGTGCAAAATAAATAGCGTAACTACACTGAAAACTATAACTATTGTATTTACTTGTACATGTTACACACCTTCATGAATTTTAGGTATTTCATTATTCTCACTTGTACTTTAAAGTTCATTATTGGTGATGCAAAAGAATGAACTTAGAATATTTTTTCTGATAGATGTTCCCTTACCAATTTCAGTTTGCGCTTTGACTATATTAAAAATATTTCATTGATATTCATATTTTTTTATCAAACCAATGTCATCAACAGTAATTAGTGGCATTATTCTTTTACTCGAGAAGTTATAAAATGTGTCAAGATTGTTCACTCTACATAAAAATCGTATTGCTCTTTTTTGCAGACAAAAATATTGAATAGCTCAGGGTTACAACCTCCCCAAAATGTAATTCCATATACACTTTTAGCTGGTTTAAAACCTATTTTTTCCCACAGTACTGACTGAAAAATACTCAGAAGATAATTTTTTCTAATTATTGTCTAAATTAATGCCCAGACTTTTTTAAATTTATTTAACGTCGGCCTATTTCTAACTACGAGGTTTAAACATAGACGCTGGTGAGCACACTACCCCCCAAATACCAGAAATTTAGCCGAATCCTCTGGTGTTCCCAATCCAACATCCATGGACTCGGGACTGACGGCTTTATCTCCTACGAAAGATGACACACCCCACGCTATACCTCGTACTCATTGATATAGCGCCTACCAACTGTGTTATGCAACTTCTCGGGCAATTTGTTTGGGCTTTTGTAGGTACGCCAACTTTCCTTGGATAGTCACACATCTAAGTACTAACTGCGGGCAACCCAGCTTGACTGCATATACCGCCACGGCAAATAATAATAATAATAATAATAATAATGATAATAGCCGTCTCTTTACCCGGACAAGCCTAGCTTTTGGGGTTTAAATTCATTCGTAAGGGGATGAATTTGGGAGTATTATTATTAATAGTGATTTTGCTAAGCCGGGCCGCTGTCCCAGAAGTTTTATTGCAACAGTATATTCAATGTTATGACTTTCTATAAGGGTTAGTAATTTTTTCCATATTTAGACATAAATAGTTGGCGTAGCATCATGCTTTGATTTTCTTAATGTCACAAGAGATGGTGTTATAAAGAACGCAGGGGTCATTGCTGGGCTATAAAATTGTAATATCATCAGCAAATAGAGTAAAAGTACTTGCAATCTTAAGTTGAGTTGTCATTTATATATAGAAGGAATTAAATGGAACTTAACACAGAACCCTGAGGAACTCCCAAACTTTTATTTTAAACTTTGAGTCCTTAGTAGTTCTTACGTTCTGAAAGATAAGTTTCCGTAAACTCAAAGTTTTTGCAACAATATTATATAACTAACACAATTAAATCACAGAATATCTCCGCTACAGCTTCATTAAAATTAATTTGAGAGTAAGCAAATTTAAGATAAGAAAATATCGTAATAAAAAATATGCGGGCGAAGGAGGCGATTCAGTCCTGATACTTTATGTAGACAACCAATAATGCATTTGTAATTTTCGATGATTCTGTCTCCAAAAACTTCGTAATGCGGATGCGTTGTAGTGCTGCTAAACATCGCAGGAGCAGTGCCATTTTTTATTTCAGGTCGGCAGGATTGACAAAGTAGCGTCCCACTGATGCGGATTTTAGTGAGTGATCCACAAAAAATGTTTCTAAAGTTGGCCATGAACGGCAAAGGCAGAGATACGAGCCATGGCCGTGATAACTACGCATGGCTTTGAATTAAATCCATTTTGACACTTAAAAATAATTGTTAATTTTTAAGTCTTTGAAAACATTTTTTTGTGGATCGCTCTATATTACAAAAAACATCATCAAACTCATAAATAAAAAGTTTGAAAAAGAACCGCCATTTTGAATTTGATTTTAGATACTTAAAGGAATTTTGTCGGATTTTGGAAATGTTAAAAGAGGTATTTGTTAGTTGAGAATACCACATCAATCTTACTAAAGCTATTTTGCCAAGGTTTATGGGCCAATTTCCTTAGTTTGACTATTCATATTTTTTTGTGGTACGTAACCTTAAATGAACAATTTATAATAATTTAGACTGTGAGGCTTAGGTTGTTTATAGTTCAACAAAAGGGATCATTCAAATATTGCGCTAGGCTAGTGGCCCTCACACCATGGGTTCATCCTACGAGTAACAGATCCTAAATACGAACCCTGACAAACTTGCACATTTAGTACATAAAACTGTTAAAACGATTTTGATTTTAGGTACATGGCGAAAGGTGTGCAAAATGTCGTTAAAGCCATGAAAGCGGAAAATGTTGAGATAATCAATGTTTTGTTATCTGTTTTTACAATCATGCCAGTAGAAGAAATACCACCATTTTTCAGAAATGCAATTGAAGATCAACATGCTATGCTTGAAGCTCTACAAAAATCAGATTTAAAATATATTGCTTCCTGCCCACCTAATTTCATTAGTAAGTATCAAAAATATTGTTAACATATAGATCTTCAGAATAAACTTGTAAGAGAAAAAATAAAATAAAGTAACAAAGCGAGCGGGATGGACAAGATATTCAGCACCGAGCATCTGATTCCCAATTCACAGGCTTGTTCTGATGTAGGTACTCTATCAATTTAAAACTCTATCTTTTTGTCAAAGCCTTATATTTTATGATATGTCGACTTCAGGTTTCCCATTATAACCAGTTTCTTTTTTATCTTTTCTGATCTTTCGCTAGTTATTTCATGTCTGTTATTGATTTTCCTCCTGAGTGTCCCAATTCTTCGATTATCTTTTCTTTTCATCCTTATGATTGATTCTATTATATCCTCCTTAACCCTTCCGCACATAGCGTACCTATTATATAAAGCCAGTTCGTATTGAATTAATAAAAAGGTTTATTTGTTATCTATTTATTTCTAACCACACTAAAAATTTCTTATTTTAGTTGCTTACGATTATAAAATATATAATTTAACAGTGTTCAATAGCAAACAATTAAGGTGCTCAAGTAAATACATTATTTACACAAGTAAATAAATTGTTTACACAAGTACAGTCAGGGCCGCCGAGAGCCAGGCCGGGTCCCAGGACAATTCTCTAGATCGGGCCCCTTGACAAAAAAAGAAGCTCTTCAAACAAAAAAAAAACAAAAACTTTTCCTCCTCTACTTGAATTGAAACACAAGACGACAAAAACATTCCAGTTGCCGGGCCCCCATTTGTGTCCGGGCCCCGGGAATTAGTCCCCACTACCCCCCCCCTCTAGTCGGCCCTGAGTACAGTACATGAATCTGACAACACATCTATAATGGCCGCTTATATTTTAAAAATTATGTGATCATAAGACTCTACCTACTGATCTACCAAAAGTCTAGACGTTAATCATAATGACATACACATCTATTTCCTTTGTATAAATGTTTACCAATTATTCCCTAAAATGATTACACTCACTTAATTTTATATTATTTCATGTTTTATTTCGATATTTTTTAGCAACATCATTTGACGCTTACGAGGCTAAAATTGGTGGTATGCCTGGTGGAAGAAACTTCAATGGTGGAGTAAACGTAATTTCTCTAAACCAACTTGGCAAATACTTCATCGATTCCTTGTCAGAACCCAGATATTACGGAAAATTAGTTGGAGTTCGTAATAAAGTTGTTCACAAACAAGGAGTTAAAGCTTAAACAAGACACTTCGATTTATTCATTAAACGTAATGATAAAATGTTTTTTTTCGTGTAGCAAAATTTTCAAGTATGTGTTACTCAATAAGTAGAAGTCCAATAAAAAAAAATTTTTCTTTAAAAGTTTCTTATTTTTTTATGAACTTTAAGAATATGTAAAAAAATGGGGTTCCAATTTGAATAAAAGGCCATATGGCCTTATGATCAGCTATAAAAATAAATTTAGTCAAAATGTTTCCTCCAAAAAACTATAAATTTTTTGTCTGAAACTCTTTTTATAAAATGCATATTTTCGGCAGTATTTAACACTTTAATTTGAACACCCGGTATATATAAAAATCTCGTGTCGCGATGTATGTTCGGGATAAACTCCGAAACTGCTGAACCAATTTTAATCAAATTTCGTAATTGTCTGTAATTTGGTCCAACTTAAAAGATAGGATAGTTTTTATCTCCATTATTGGGAAAGCGGGGGTTGAAAATTTGTATGGAAGTATCGATTTTTTTTTTGAGGTAGGAACTTGAAAATTGGGATTAAAGCTACTTATCACAAATAAATAATGGTGTGTTTCAGGTTTTGGATTTTAAGAGGGGAAAGTGGGGAAAGAGGGGAAAGAGGGCCAAGAGGAGAAAGAGGGGAAAATGGGGGGAAAGAGGGGGAAATGAGGGAAAATTGGGAAATAGGGGGAATGGGGGAAATAGGGGGAATGGGGGAAATAGGGGGAATGGGGGAAAGAGGGGAAATGGAGGAAAATAAGGAAAGTGGGAAATATGGGAAAGGTGTGGTATCCTATATCAGTATCTTGAACAAAAAGAGATAACTTCTTTTAGAATAAAATAACATCTTCTAATATCGAAAAAATTGTGTTTCCTTTTCCCTGTATTTTACGATTAAGCTGATTCAGATGAGATGTAACGTCGTCCACCATGAAATAAAATGTTTGGATCCACTGATCGTTCGTATAGAAGAGCCACACTCAAGCGCCCGAAGAGCCGCAAACAGCTCGCGATCCGCGGTAATCTAGCTGTACAAATAGTAGAGCCTCTTCTTCCTATCCATTTTTCAGAAAATTTTTAGTTTAAATATGTCCTGACATTATGCAAAAAATGGACGGGAGCACCATCTAGTTGCAGCAATATTTTTCTTATAATATCCAAAAGAAGGTTCCAGAAACCATTTTACAAAAATTAAAAAAACTTCTTACTCATTATTTTCAATGCTGCAATAATGAAAATTGTCTATTCACAAATCCGTTTTTATGGAAAGTAGATTCATTAGTAAATAGTATCTTATAAAAGTTAATATTTAGAATTGTACAACATGCCACTGGAAAAAATTTCTTATTTGGCAATTTTAATATCGTTAATTGCTTAAAATGAATGAAAAGCATAAAATAAACAAACTTGGCGGGTAACATTTGTTACTTTGGAGTGAGATATGTACAATATATAAATACCAAGCGGTATAATAACCAATAAAATGAAAAATATAAGAAAGTATAAATGATTGTTGTTTATTATTTACCTATGAAACGAAATATTTTGTTTTTTTCTTGCCGCAACCTTTTACACTGATAAGCAAAACAAAAAACCATTGTAACAAATTAATTATCAAATGTCGTTTGATTCAAAAATCACAAATAAACACGAGTAAATCCTTAGCACCAAAATAATGGCTGCCAAGCGATAATCGACACAGAATACTAGGAGTGCTCGATGTACTTGTTACGCGCCTTCTCTTTTTCCTGGACTAAGGTAACAGCAAACGTGGCCAATTTATATAAACATATGGGATTTCTCAAATTGTTCGCGCATTCGACAGCAATGCCTTCGCTATTTATTAGGCTGATGCGTTGCCTCTGTATGCGTCATTATCATTCTAGTATATTCTTGTTTCGTTGAATATTCTTGATAACGGGAAAAATGGAGGCCGTAAATGCCCAAATATAGCAGAAAGGTACTTAAGGGATTAGAGCATGACCGGTCTAATCGAAAATGGCTAGCATTACATTATTCAGAAAAAATCTGAGGGTTTATAAAAGCCTATAACTGAATTTGTTAGTATTTAAATAAATCTCGTTCATCTGACACCAATTTATTAAATAATTACTAAAATCTGATTGTCATAGCATCTTATCATACTTTACTTAATCAGCGAATATACGGCAGAAGGATTATATAAAGCTCGATGTTATATATAGTCTACGTGTCCAAATGATGAATGAAGCGATAAGTAAGCTAGGATTGAAATGTGGTCGTACAATGGAAAAATCTATATAAATAAAGACAAAAAGTGATTATTATTAGAAACAAGACAGACTTTGAAAAAAGTTTAATTGCTTGATATGGCTGTCTTTATTATCTTAATTATTTTATTTCATCTGTATCAACAATTATTATATGAAGTCTTTCTTATTAACTATAAGAGTTTACAAATTACTACTTTTTTTCTTTTTTTTTCCTCTTAAAACCAAACAAATTTAAGACATAATGATTGAGTTTTTAAATATGATAGACAAGGAATAAGGGGTCGAAACAAAAATATTTGATAATTTTAATGATTACATACAGGTGAGGAGAACAACAAAGGATAAGCACGGTCTAGGTATAATATTATTTAAACATAAGAAGCTTACAGAAACATTACGATGAGCTATTACTATATGTTGAAATGGCAAAACATCAGTTGGATATCATTGTTTTATCCGAAACAGGTAATATAAATAAACTTACTGGCTATTCTATACCAAATTATTCTATATTCTACAATGAATCAACATTAAACAAATGTGACGGTGTTGTCGTATATTTAAAAAATAATGTAACCGCCACCATCTCTATATTACCCATTAACAATAGTAAATTTTTAAGGGTTATACTTACAAACAGCTACCTACCAAGCAATAATACAATAGGACTAACAGCTTTCTATTGTTTTCCATCAACAGATATAAAACAATATATACAAGATTTAGAAATCTATTTAAATTTCATAAAAAAGCAAAGCGTAGAGGTCTACATGGGAGATATCAACATTGATATACTAAAACCAGAGACAAACGACAGTAATAACTATTTAAATTTACTAAATTCTAATGGTTGTTTTTCTTATATAAATAAACCTACTAGAGTCACACAAAACACTAAATCAACAATTGACCATATGTTCATTAGAATACAAAAAAAATTACAAAATCAAATCGCCATCGATTCAGTAATAGTTCTTACAGTCATTACCGACTATTATTCTCCTAGTGTATTTTTTACTTTCACAAATCAAAAAGAGGTAATAAAAAAAAAATTGAAAATAAATTCCAAAAAGTAAATATTGCCAAATTCAAAAATATGTTAAATAATGAGGAATGGACTGAAGTTCAAAATATAAATCATGACCCCGAGTTAGCTTACAATCTATTTTTTAACAATTTAAACAGACATATAATAAGTTGCACAGAAACAAAAACTATAAAAACTAAGGTAAAAAAGATTAAACCTTGTGGATCACACTAAATATTCTAATCAGAAAGACTAAAAATGATTATTATCAATGGAAAATTTCTGAAACAGGGACAAATTTAAAAAAGGCCTGAAATACAATTAATGACAAAACAGGTCCTTCAAAAAAAAATTCAAATTATATAGAAAACCTAACGATAATGAGAGAGAGAGAGAGATATGCTTTATTGTCGTAAAAAATTTACAAAAATTTTATAGACAAAGCGTGTAACTTAAATAGGTACTAAACATATTATAAAAATAACTAAACAGCAGAAAAAACAAACAGAAACAAACAGACAAAATAGGAATAACAATTGCAATGGATATGCAATATCCGTCATTATAATTATTCTAATTTAATTTTTAAATTTAAATTTAAACTTTAATATTTAATTATTTAATTAATGCCATTGTATGTGGAACTCAAATGTCTAAGGTACGTTATAAAATTCTGCTACTGTGTAATATGGTCTTTCTAGAAGAAAAGCTTTAGCCAGTCTTCGGAACTTATCGTATGTATTTATAGATTTTAATTGCATCGGAAGGTTATTATACAATTTTTTGGCATTGTAGGTAATGGAATGTTTTAATAGGTCAGAAGTGGGCATTGTTAAATAAACATCAGTCTCTAAATTTCTTGTAGGATATCTACGAGTCGGTCTTTCGGATAAATTTTGAATGTGCTTGCGAACTAAGCAGACGGATTCGAAAATAAATAGAGCAGGAAGGATTAGAATTTGGACATTTTTGAAGTAATTTTCGCAATGTGACCTACTACTTAAACCAAATACATAGCGGATTGCTCTTTTTTGCAGTTTAAAAATAGATTCGAAAAGGTATAAGCTACAAGAACCCCAGAAAGGTAAACCATAGCGAAGGTGAGATTCGAATAAGGAAAAGTAGGTTATTAATGCAGTAGAAGGAGTCAGCTCTTTAGAAACCGATTTAATGGCAAAACATGCAGAGGATAATTTTTTTGTTAAGGTATCGATATGAGCAGACCATTTTAGAGAATCGTCTATATAAAGACCTAAAAACTTGATTGAAGTCACCGTTTGGATCAGATTATTGTTTAAAGTTATAGGTTGTAAAGTACCTCTGTAAGACAATGCTACAGTTTTACTGGTGTTGAAACAAAGTCCATTCGAATCAGACCAGGACTTAATAGTCACTAGATCTTCACTTATGATAGATTGTAATGTCTGCATGCTGCATGTTAGAATTATTCCAGGTTACACTGGTGTCATCAACAAATAAAGTAATTCTACCACTTATTCTTAAGTCTGTGATGTCGTTGATGAATAATAAAAACAAAATTGGACCTAATACTGATCCTTGAGGTACTCCACTGCTTATTGCTAGATTTGTAGAATCCTCACCATTCGCCCGCACCTGTTGATTTCTATTTTCTAGGTAAGTTTTAAACCATTGTAAAGGAGAATGGACGATAACAATATCCCAATGACCAATGAAGTAAAGGCAGACAAGTTTTAACAATTTTTTTTTCAAATTTAGGAGACACTATGGCAAATAAAATACTTAATGTAAACCTATCAGAACAATTTCTTGAAGATGAAAAAAATAATCAGTGCATATTTTTAAAACCAATAAGGATAATGAAGTAATAAATCTCATAACAAATTTAAAAAATAATTGCTCACCAGGCCCCGACAAAATAGCCTTATCCACAATAAGAAACATCCATGAATATATTGTCTTACCTCTAAAACATATTATAAATGTTTGTTTCCAATATGGAAGAATCTCTCAACAATGGAAGAACTCAATAGTCACCCCTATTTTTAAGTCGGATGACACCAGTAAATTTACGAATTATAGGCCCATTTCGGTTATTAAAATTTTTTCAAAATTTTTGAAATGGCTTTAAAAAATAGACTTATTGACTTGTTTCATGCAAATAATACTATTACAAAAAGACAATATGGATTTATAAAAAACTCTAATACTGAAAATGCTGTTGTGGATTTTCTAGAAAAAACGATCGGTGCCTTGGATGGGTCTCTGATATGCCTAACGATATTCCTCGACTTGCCCAAGGCCTTTGACACTGTCTCTCGCGAAATTTTATTAATTAAGTTAAATTCTTATAATATTAGAGGTCTTGCCCTTGATCTAGTGTCTAACTACCTGTCCAATAGAACTCAACGAGTTAAAATTGGCAATATTATCAGTTCTGAGTCCATTGTAAAAATGGGAGTACCACAGGAAACCGTATTGGGCCCAATACTTTTCCTTTCTGAGTCCATTGTAAAAATGGGAGTACCACAGGAAACCGTATTGGGCCCAATACTTTTCCTTGTGTACATAAATAATATTACCAAGATAAAAAACTTAACCGGAGACCTCATATGTTATGCCGATGACACTGCTTTAATTCTTACGTGTAAAAACTGGAAGGATTCTAAGATTTCTGCGGAATCAGATTTAGGGAAAATAAGTTTGTGGTTAAATAATAATAAGCTTATATTAAACATCAAAAAAACCAAATTTATAACATTTAGCTCAACGATTATTAACCAACCAGTAACATTGTTATAAAACTTCACTCTTTTAGCTGTCAAAATAATATCTGCCAGAGTCCTTCTATTGAAAAAGTAACTTCTATTAAATACTTTGGAGTTATGCTAGATCAATATGTACGTTGGACTGAGCATATAATCCATGTTAGTAAACGGTTAAGAGGGCATTGGTCCATAAATTCTATGAACTAAGAGAAACCCTCTCCAGAAAAAATGTAGTTATTCTTTACAACTCTTTAGTTAAATCTGCTTTGGGATATTGCATAGTTGCTTGGGGCGGCGCTTTTAAAAGTACCCTGAACATTCTAGAAACCGTTCAAAATACCTTACTTTTCAATAAACCCAAAATTTTCTCTATTCCAAAATTGTATAGTGAAACACACATCCTAAACGTTCAATTGCTTTTTATTTATCAATGTGTTTTAAGAATGCATATAAATAGAAAACATTTAATTTATAAAAATACTCGCGTCACGCGCTCAACTTCTAATAATGATGTCCTTACTCAACATTGTAAAAAAACCTTAACGCAACGATCGTTTCTATTCTTTGGGCCTAGGCTCTTTAATATAATCCCATTGCACTTGAAACAAATTATTAAATTAAAGCTGTTTAAAATCAAAATTAAAGATTATATGAAGAAAAATCAAATTACGTTTCTGAAAGTTGTAAAATAAAATAATTTCATGTGGCACAACTTATTCTGTAAATATAATATGTAAATAAATATAAAAATTATAAAAAAAAATATTTTTTGCCCTGCTTGCCTTTTGCGGCTTTCGTCATATCTATTTTTATCATTATACACAACAAAAATTATTTTTTTGCCTGATCCACTATTCCTTGTTTCCCTCATACACGTATCAACTCAGTTCTTGCTATTTTCTCTTTACAGGTAATGTACAAAAACATGCGGAACGAGCATTTAGCAAGACAGGCAACTACTGCCTAGGTGACTTGCTCTTTCTGCGGTTTCTTTTTCATTGTTGTCTCAATACCTTGTATTATTTTTATACATTATATTTATGTACTTTAAATAATAAAATAAAATTTATTAAAAAAAAAATATTAATAAATAATTGTTAAGACTAACAGTATGTACTTTGTGGGACAGCATAACTAACTGCTGTTTGTTTTGAACTATATACTAAAAACTAGGAAGCCAAGCCACAGGTCAAGATACCTAAATCTTATGATATCTCTATTTTACTATAAATACCTTAAGGAAAATGGCTTTTAGAGAGTATGAGTAAAAATTACCATGGTCACTCTTCTTCCTATGATAACCCATGCCATACGATTAGTGACAGATCTGGAGACCTAGGTGAAGAGTTTTCAAAGTAGTTTAAAGATATTTTCGCTATATGAGGTTGGGTATTATCCCAATAAAATGTGAGATTACTTTTAAATTAAGGGTGCTAAAATCGAAAGTAACGCAATGAATATTGCTGAATTTTCCATAAAATTACATGTTCAATGATGTGTCATACTTGGTACTTTCCCTTTACATTTAATATTATTGGTTGGGGATATGATAGAAGGATTTCCTCCTTAAATAAAAAAGATGACGAATTTGTCTAAAATGTTTATGTAGTTCCTGATCATGGCTCTGGTAACTTTCGTCTGGTCACCCTGTATAATACCCACGAAAGAGCAGTGTACCTCTCTTTAATCAAATTAAACCAATATTTTAAAATACTTAATGACGACATAATCGATACCACAGTGAAAAACCTTATTATAGATATGTCCTCGAGAAGTAAACTTGTTTAATGAATAATTCTTGGGAACATCCAAAGAAAAAACTAATTAAATAAACCCATTATATACAAGTCAGTTGAGCTCTTGAACTTGATATATTCAGTTGAAATTAAAGTATCTGTAAAAAAATATGGAGTTCAGAAATTTTTTCTTCTGTTTGTTGTTATGTTTGGGGATTTTAAAAATTGGAAATTCTTCAAAATTGACGAAAGGAGGTTCTCATGATATTAGGAAAATTTTGGTAATCGGAGCTACAGGTCAAGCTGGATCCAAAATCGTAAAGGAAGCATTGGATAGAGGTTAGTTAAAACTACATTTAATGATTTAAGAAACTTAAATAACATTTGCGTGTGTTTGTTTAAGGGAGGCTTTAGTATATTTAGTATTCAGGATATTCTTAGCAATTTTTAGGTAGCAAAAAATAACAGGAGTTACAGCTAATAATATGCATTATCACTGAAATTTGTCTTGTACCCCTAAAAACATATTGAAACAATTCTCATAAATAATAGGTATTCTAATCCAAATAATTTTTAACAAAATAATTTTACAATAAACTGAACGACATATTTATTATAGAGTTTCGAAAAAATAAGATTTTAACTGCCTTAAAACAGTTAAAAAGGTAAAAACCTGTAATACGTGTGTTTTCATATAATATACAGGGTGTTCCCTGTACGAAACTTCAAAATATTTGAGATTTGGAAATAATTTAAGCACTAAGTATATAGTGGTATTATAAGTGAAAACGTATAGATGCGATTTTTGAAATATTTTTTTTTAAGATGACTTTTATCCATTAAGAAGTATTTCCAATTTTTTTTTTGTAGCAGGTTTATCAAGTTGTTTCTTTATTTTTGCCTCAATTAATATTCTTATATAAAATTCTGCATAATTATTGGCATTGATTGTACAAAAAAATATGTTTTTTAATTATTTTTGCATTTTAAAATCTAGTTTTTTTCCGTGTTACATTAATATCATTGTATTTTACAATGTTAATATATAAAGAAAAATTTTGTTTAAGGTTCATTTTTACGGTCAACAATTTTTTAAATTGTATTAGTTATTAGAATATTTCCCTGTAAATTATTAGAATTATACAATATTACTCGTAAAAATCTAATGTGTCCAACACATGACTTTCCTATCTAGTTATTATAGGCTTTTTTTGGTTATTTTGTACAACCTATTGCAGCACCTCTATAAATGTTTAGAGGATAAACTAAAAATATACATTTTCCACATACATCTACCTCGAAACATTTTTACTTTCCTATCTGTATACAGATATAAGATAAGTATAGGAATCATGATTTTTTTCGACCTCGAGTTATCGACGGATTTTTACGTTTTGAGGTCCCCTGATTCCGTTTTGACTATTTTCGCGACGATGTCTTTGTGTGTGTCTGTCTGTCTGTGTGTTTGTGTCTGTCTGTGTGTCTGTATTCACCATAACTCATGAACCGATACACAGAAAAACAGCAAATGTTAAACTAAAGCTTTATTCCAGCCTTCAATGAACCGATTAGATTTTGGGCAGAGTCGGAACATCTGGGGGGTACTTTATGAGTGGTCATTTTTATATTTTATGGAATATATCTGCTATTTACGTTTGGAGAAGAAAATTCTTTAAATAAAAGTTATTTCTATTATTATCTATAATTTTTGTTCTATACAAAATTATCCTAAAATGGTCCGTATTCGAGAAATTTAACAAAATGTAAAAAATATTTTTTATAAAAAGTTGTTTGTAATATAATTTTCTATAATTTTTGTTCTATACATAATTTCTCTAAAATGGACCGTATTCGAGATATTTGAGAAAATGTGTAAATTTTGAATAAAACTCAAAAACGGATAAAGAAACAAACATTAAATTTTAAACTTAAGTTTTATTTCGGCCTGACGTAAAATGATTAGATTTTGGACAAAGTCGGAACATCTGGGGGGTACTTTATGGGAGGTCATTTTTATATTTTATGGAATATCTGTTATTTATGTTTGGAGAAGAAAATTGTTCAAATAAAAGTTACTTCTAATATTATTATCTATAATTTTGGCTTAATGTCAAAATTTCCTTAAATGGTCCATATTCGTGAAATTTGACAAAATGTGCAAAATTCTGATTTTTATGAAAATTGTTGAACTAAAAGTTGTTTTCGATATCGATCTCCATAATTTTTGTTTATACATGATTTTTCTAAAATGGACCGTAATGGAAAAATTGTAGGAAAAGTGCTAAATTTTAAATTTTTCGCTGTTTTCGTTTTCAATGAATATCTATAGAAAAATGTTTCGAGGTAGATGTATGTGGAAAATGTATATATTTAGTTTATCCTCTAAACGTTTATAGAGGTGCTGCAATAGGTTGTACAAAATAACCGGAAAAAGCCTATAATAACTAGATAGGAAAGTCATGTGTTGGACACATCAGATTTTAATGTTTATTATATTGTGGGTTTGTTTTTTGAGTCCTTATGAGTTCTCATAAAACCAGAAAACGAATTAATTCAAGTTTAATCGTACAAACAATCTTTTTCTATACATATTCGACCATACTTAATTATTTACAGGAAAATATTCTATAATACTATAAAAATTTGGAGTGTAAAGAGAACTATCTCCGTTTACAGAAAGTGTCCCTCAAAATATATGAAATTAAGATGGCTTTACTGTGTCAGAAGGGCGCCGAAAGTTGTGACCGTCGATAACCCAGGTAGCCAGCATGACGTAATTGACGTCAATGGAACGTCAATTATTGGTCATTTTTGGTCACATACATGAAAGTGTCGTCTTTGGGACGTCATTCTATGTGACGTCAGTTGGCCGTCAACTGTAGAGACGTCATTCTGACGTCTTTTTGGGGACGAATAATTTAAATATTTAATAATCTTAAGTTTAAATTTTTTTAATTGTTGAAATTATAAACAAATGGAGAAAAACAATCCCTAGAGCCTTTAATGGTTTAAGGTTTATTGGCGCTGTTGGTAAAACTGATATTTATTAGTTTGACATCAACGCAGTGTTGTCACATAATAAAATTTCCATATTACTCAGTATTATTACTAACATCGTCATTTAAATAATTATTTTCTGAATAATTAAATGTTACTGCAATTATTTGATTTGAATTTAAAATATATTGGCACCTATTAAAGGATTACAGCAATAAATGCAATTAAATTGTGACCGTTTCCTTATTTGGATTTGTAATAAAATTTTATGAGATATGTCTCGTGGGCAACGCTGTCTGACGAGCACGGGCACAACGGGGGCAACGAATACAAACGAGTTACGACGAACGGCTAACTCGGTTAACGGTCAATTTGCATGAATGTTGCAATAACGGTGATGTTTAATTTTGTAAAGGTGACGTCGTTTTTGTGACTTTTAAGCTGCTTTAAGCATTTTAATATTTTTAAGTGAGTATGTGTTGGTTTACATTTTTGTCATTCAGTTTGATTAAACGGGGGATAACAGTGTAGCAGTTGTAGATGAAAACCGGTTGACTCCTTTGAAGCGACAAGTTTACTGGCCCCCACTGAGAGATACAAGAGTTTTTCGGCTCGCTTTGGCCGAGCATTAGGAAGGGGATTCGGAGAGTTGGAAGATGCTTTTTTCACCAATATACATTTTTTTTCCAAAAACTAGTGTATTATTTCTTATTTCTATTGACATTTACACTTTATCTATTTCTAATTGAACCACTTTAAAAAACTGTAGCCGAACATTCGCTTTAAACCTTTGTTCAGAGCCACCGGCATATTGCGTGTATCGGAGTAAAAGTTCAAAGAGAATGTCGACTACAGTTTTTTGTACTAGTTCAATTAGAAATAGATAAAATATAACTTACTTATGCTATCCAAATCAAATGCACACCCTAAAGGCTTTTTTGAACGTCCAAGCGTTTAAGTTTAAATGACGTCTTCTGGACGTCAGTTGCCTGCCGCCATATTGGCCTGACTGAGGTCAAATTCTTTAAAAAAATAGACGTCCGAAAGACGTCATTGCAATGACGTCTTTTGGATGTGACATTACTGCGTCTTTTAGACGTTCTACAGACGTCCGTTTAACGAATGCGGTGACGTATTATGGACGATTTATGGACGTCAGGTGCTACCTGGGAATTTAGATCCCACAATCACACCAATGATGTCTATAGTTTTATATAGATTGCTAACCCATGTGTATATAGTACACTTCAAAGTACACTTTTTGATTGTTTTCCATTATCTTGTAAAGTTGTAGTTATTTTAGTCAGGGCCTGTTTTACCTAACATGAAGCTCTAGGCGTCAGAAAATTTTGAGGCCCCTTTGTTAGGCATCTATTTTTAATAATATTATTACTCGATAAACTATAGAGTTATCAGGGTGTTTCGTGATATATTTTAAATTAAATTTAAGTCACAGCCAAAGGAAAAAATATAAAAGTATTTTTTAATACATTCCTGTTAGTTCGTAAATGGTGTCAGTAGCGAGTCCGCTACCGTATCTTGAAATAATTTTATATTAGATTCTACATTCTATTGTGACATTCTGTAAGCAAATCAAATAGGTATCTATTTTATTAGGGGAATGTTAGGTTGTTAGGAATGTTTGGTAATAATCTAGAGAATACTAATACAAATTCTACTCCAACTTACCTTTACGCCTGGAGCGCGTTCAAATAGAGTATGACCAATTTGGCCTTGGTTCGTTCAAGAACAGTCAAGCGTTCAATTTGGACATTTAGCTACTCTCGATCAGAAAATTAAGTCAAATTAGTCTAGAGTGCACTTTTTTTTACCCAGTTTAGACTGGGTAAATTTGAGTAAATTTGACAGAACGTAGAGCTCTTTCCACAAAATCTCAACAGCTATTCACAATTAATTAAACTATTTACTCAAAATTGTTATTAACATCTATAAAATAATTTTGTACGCCAATGTATTGCGTCCACTTCGGTTAGATTCGCCGCAAATCTGTCAATTTATGTATATAAAATGGGAGAACTGGCAAAAGCCTTTCCAACTTCTACCCCTGCTATACTCAATTGATAAGTCTTTTATTTAGGGTGACCATATGTACAGCGTGTCGTGGTGGGTCTCAGGGGCCATGACCTCTCCCAGAGGTTAACATTGATATAATCCCTGAGTTAGCATTTTCAAAATCGGCAAAATTGCTATTAGCAAGTTGCTATTACCGGGCAAAAGTAATAAATAGGACATGGGGAGCTAAAAAAATGTCTTCTAGTAGTTTATGCATGCGCCTTATGAAATTTTTTGGGGAAAGAAGGTAGTCCAGGTTTAAAAAAAAAATATTATCGTGGCTCCCACCGAAAATTCAGTCTGGAGTCGCCCTTAATTATAGCTTTTTATTGAATATTTTTTGACATAAACAATTATATGAGATTGTTCTTTCCTCTATACTCCTTACACATTACAAATACTTGATATTACGCAAATTGATACTACGGCAGTGGCGGAGGGTTTTGGGAGTCAGAACCCCCCCCCCCCCCCAACAGAGGGTCCTCGTGTCATCGTTTCCGCCCATTCTAATGGGCGCTGATCGCTATTGACTGTTTTTATTTACTTTCTTGTTGAAACCCCTCCCACAGTTATCAAAAACCCCTGCCATGAAATATGGCTGGCTACACCACTGCACCACGGTGACTTAAGGGTCTATTGTGTAACAATTCCTTTATATTTAACGGCCTTTAAAAATATTTTCTTCTTTACTTCTGTCATTATTAAAACGGATCTTCAAAATACATTAGAGGTTTGTCTTAAAGAAATCTGATTAAATAATGACGGAAGTAAATTAACGAATACAAACATATTTTTAAAGGTCGCCAATATTTTTAAAGGCCGTTAAATATAAAGGAATTTTTACAGAATAGACCCCTTTGTGTGTACCGGAGGCGTGGCTTTTACAAATTTGATCGAATACAGCGCGCGAAAATAAATTTTAATCTGCTAATGTATCATACCTCTGTAATTTTTTTCATCATGTCCTATCCAAAGTAGGCTTTTGCGCTTCGAAATTTTACCGCAAAATTGACGTTTTCTGCGAACTCCTATTCTTAAGTGGCAGCTTTGTCGCTCTAGCGCGACAAAATTTTAAAAACGCTCCCCTAATTTTAATTAGGTAATAATATGATGTACAATACATAATTCTAAACGAACAGTAGCTCATATATGAATAGTTTAATGTGAATCTAGAATACTCACTTCGAATTTCTTATCCGAAAATATTCGAACACAGATTGAAACTCAATACAATTATTACGCCTTTCTCATGGCGACAAACACGTAAACTAAACATAAATGAATAGTATTTAGTAAATAAAAATTAATTTCTACCATATTTTCACAATAAATGTAGATATTAAGGGAAATTAAATACTACTTATAGATAATAACTAGAAATAAGCTGAATATTACTAGATAGGCATATTTCAAATTAAATGTCGCGTCGGTGAAATTGGTAATAAAGTTTAAGTCTGGGGGGTAGTGGTAATATTTAAGACTTTATTTGTGATAATAATACATTTTAGTACCTATAAAAAGTTAAGTTTAAAATTTATTGGGGGTAATTACCTCCATTCCCCCCGGATATGCGCCCCTGAATGAATCACCCTGCAGGTGATTGTAACAACGATTCGTTGTTAGCAAATTATAATTACTTAATAGATTTGCTATTTATTTTTTTAGGTTTTATATTTTATATCAATTTATTTTAGAAATAATTTCAAATAATATTTGTTTTTTGACATTGTCGTGGCAATATTATTGGTTAATAAGGCTTTTAATACTATATTATTACACTGGTAATTCTTTTCTATTTCTTATAGGTCTTCAAGTTAGGGCGTTCTCTAGAAACCCGAGTAAGTTATCTGAAGATGTTAAAGATAAAGTAGAAACAGCAACAGGAGATATACAAAATTACGAAGATGTTCAAAAAGCTGTCAAAGGAGTCGATGCAGTTATTGTTGCTATTAGTCCTCGCAGTTATGAAGATACGTCCAAGTAATAATAATTTTCATGTTGTAATAAATGATGTTAGTAATGTTTATCAAAATAATCGCACAGTTGTATACCTATTTTGGTTAAATTGAGACTAGTATCTTTTTCTTCTACAAACTTCAGAGCTGTATTCAGGCGCCGGCTATCTAGACTGCAATCTATGAGCCTGCACCATAAAAAACTGTTCAAGAATGTAACTATTAATAGCCTAAAATAAAAAAGGCTTTATTTTAATAATGTGGTACGGGTCCTGTTACAATTATAAAAGACGTCAATTAAGTTAGTTGACACTTTCGTCTCGTAAATTTCGTGGAATGACTAACGCTTGTACAGCGCACACGTGCATCTACGTCTATTGTAATCTAAAACACCTGAAAACACTTTACTGTAATGGTAACAATTAAAACCTGTTATTACTACTGCCTTTTGAAATTTAAGTCAAAAATATTTTGACCTCTGGAATATTTATATCTCCATCTGGTGCTATTAGAGTCCGGCGCCATATTGAAAGGTTGTGAAGCAAACTACATGAATAAAACTGGCGCGCGAATATTTTCCGTTTCTAAGAAATAGTATTGTTTTATCTTTTACAAGAAAACCTCTTATCGTTTTCAAATTCCTATAATTTTTTTAAACTTTGCGTGTCTATAAAACAAACTAAAATTTGCCTTACATGTATTATACTTATAAATGTATAAAGACACGAATCTCGACTTGTGTTCACATTTCATAGTTTGAAAGGTCTTCATATCAGTTCACTGTATAATCAATGGAAGCATTCTGTTTATGGGTTTAAAATCCTTGGTGAATGATAACGGTCCACAACTGACAAGAGCTTGGTACACCTGCTATCGAGCAATTGCTTAATGGGAGATGTGATATATGCTATAGTCAACAAGCACCATTAAAAAAGAACGTTCAGTTAGAGTCAGAAATACTGCTCGCCAGTAGCTCAGATAACATAAAAGAATACAATCAATATATCACTATACATAGTAAAGTCAATGTAGCAGGGAGTCACTTGATATTATTGGATTTCAAGGAGAACCAGTAACATTTTTCCATGTAGGAAAACCACAGCAACGCTTACCCAGAATGCTGAAAGTTGTTATGTCCTCTGAATCACATGCCAAATTTGTTTTAAAAAACAAGAAAAAACTATTGTTACATTTCGCCAATAATAGCTTTTCTCCATCCTATCTCGTTGACTGGTTTCTCTTATACACTAATTTATGTTCTATTTACGCTAAATATAATGAATTTATGTGCACTGTTCAACTTCTTAAACCTGACATAATTCTTATCAGTGAAACCTGGTTAAATACCTCAACTCCCGACTCACTAGTTGATATCGACGGATACACAATCTTTCGCAGCGACCGAGAAAACCGAATTGGTGGTGGCGTTTGCATTTACTTATCAAAAAATATTGTAAATAATTTCTCTGTATCTCCTGTACACATAAAAATATCTAATATAGATGTAATATGTATAAAAATTACTAAACATTTAACTTCTGTACATCTTGCATGTATTTATCGACCCGGTGACACTCTTTTAAACGACACCATTACGCTGCTATCAAAACTTGAAGATCTATCCGTCTATTCAATTTTCCTGATATTTCCTGGCCTATTATGAATGTCCCCAACGGCAACAATTCTAAAAATATTTTTATGAACTTTGTTCAAAATTCCAACTTATCTCAACTGATTCTTGAACCAACACGCTTCCGAATCAATAATGATCCTTCGACACTCGACCTTCTCTTTACAAATGACACACAATTATTGTCCTCCCTAGAGGTTAGTACTCCTATTGGAAAATCCGATCACGCAGTAATAACGGCACACGTACAATTCAATCTACCATCTCCTAAATCGGAAGAACATTTCCTAACGTTAGAAATCATTGACTTCACAAAAGTTGATCATTCGCTTGAAATTACTGATTGGGATAACTTACTGCTGGCCTCTAATGATTGTTTATCTATGTGGAACAAATTTCACAACATCACTACACAAATTCTCTCAAAAACACTATTAAACGTAGAGTTTATCGCAACAAATTAAAACCCTGGATCACTTGGGAACTACTAGAAATGATAAAACATAAAAGCAATCTATGGAGAAGTTATAAAAACACACACGATAACGACGATTTCATCTGCCACAGAAGATTTTCCAACCAGCTCAAGCGGTATTTGTCTTCTACGAGACAATCTTACGAAGAATCAATCGTTAACCGCCCGATCAGCCTCCTACCAGTTATTTGCAAGGTTATGGAATCAATTGTTGCCGAAAAAATGTCCTCCTTTTTAATTCATGAAAATGTTATACCTCAAGAACAGCATAATTTTGTTTAAATACGCCATTTCGATGGCAAAGAACGGATATTGCGATCTGCAGTCGGCGATGAATTATTATATTCATGTCTATTCGATAGCATTATTTTTCTATACTGTTCCCCTGGATTAAGTACTAGCAGTTAATGTACTGTATGTCAACGCATGTTTTTACAAAAGACATTTAAAATAATTTTTTTGTTGTTGTATGAAACACGTAATTTTAAATGAACAATTTATAATATTTTAGACGTGAGACTTAAGTTCATAATTCTTAACAGAAGGGATAATTCAAATATTAGGCTAAGCTCGTTGGCCCATACCACAGATTCAGTCTAGGAATTTATAGATCCTAAATGTAGCTCTGAATAACTTACATATTTAGTACTTACTATTGTTAAAATGATTCTGTATTTATAGATACATGGCAAAAGGTGTCCAAAATGTCGTTAAAGCCATGAAAGCAGAAAATGTTGAGATAATTAACGTTTTGTTATCAGATTTTATATTCATGACAGTAGAAGAAATTCCACAATTTTACAGGATTGCAGTTGAAGATCAACATGCTATGCTTGAAGCTGTACAAAACTCGGGTTTGAAATATATTGCTTCATGTCCAGCTAATTTCATTAGTAAGTATCAGAAATATTATTAACGTACAGATTAAGCCTGCCAGTTGGAACTGCGCTAACTTTAAAGATAAATAAAACAAATTAAAATACAGTAACAAAGCAGATTCACCACAGCGAATCTGATTCTAAAGTGACAGGCTTATTTTGATGAATTATATCAGTTTAAAACTGTATCTTCTTCTTGTCCTTATATTCTGTGGAGTGTCGACTTGAGGTTAACCATTATAAACAAAAATTCTAGTCTTTTCTGATCTTTTGCTTTTTTTTTTCATTTCCGTTACTGATTTTTCTCTGAGTGCCCAAATTCTTTTATTATCTCGTTTTATTTTACTTCCTAAGTTTGACTAATACCCTCCTTAAAGAAGATTTGTCCTATTTTCTGATATGTCTGCCAAAATGTGTTTCCTTTTTACAGTAGCTATTGGATTATTTTTTTCTAATTTAATTTCTTTATTCTCTGCATTAGCTTGTTTTCTTGATTTTTATCAGTTGCCTATTGTATTGTTTCACTTACATATTTAGTTCATTTTTGCCAAATATTGTTTAGTAAGTGTTTTTGTTTTCTCTATTTTTTCTCTTATTTGGGTTAGGTTGAAAATGAGTGGGATGATTACGTGGCCTTTCACTGCTACCCATATGGATCTATTGCGGCTTACTCTAAATTATGGTTGACCGTACACATAAAGATGACCATGGTTGAATTAGGTGAGACTTGTTTACAGTCGGTAGGCTCTAGTCGGTTAAAGTCAAAGATCTGAACCTAGTTCTTTCAAAGGCGAAGCAGCTTCATAGAATGTGATCTGCAGATTCGTCTCAAACACTGCAGAATGGAAAGACCGACGTTTGTTGCACACCTATCCTCATGTGGTTACCTAGTTCTTACAGAAAGAGTTGTCAGACTACTTAGAAGGCATACATTTTCTAATCTAATAAAATATGTGGTTTCTGAAAGATGGCATTCCAGGACATTACAGTGATGGAGTAAGAGAATATTTTTGTAGCAGAACTTTAGACGTTGCATTTAAAGGGGTCCCGATGCATCTGAAGGGGTCCTGAGTCATCTTTTTTTTGGTTACCCAGAGACTCAAACTTTAACTCTCTTACCTTTAGTTTTTGGGGTTTTCTGAAAAAAAGAAGTGAAAATATTAAGCGAATAACAATTGATAGTTAGAATCATTGAACCTACAAAAACATTTAAGCAGAAACCATTTATTATTATAACATTTACAAGATATTTACAATGTGTAGAATGGCCACTTAGGTATTAGATATTAGATATTATGTAAACTAAACTTTACTAAACTATTACAACTAGTTGTATTACATACAAAACCGAGTGCCTAAAAACAGCGGACATTTTTCAAGATAAATTAGAGCCAACCTCTTATCATTAAATCAATCACTTCGTAGTTCCTGTATATAAATATTATTTTAAATATATTTTCTAAAGTGACTGCATTATTATTTGACCACTTGATAATTTTGTAATATTTTATATTTTTTTAGCATCATCATTTGACGCGTATGAGACTAAAATTGGTGGTATGCCTGGTGGAAACTCCAATGGTGAAACAAACGTAATTTCTCTAAACCAACTTGGTAAATACTTCATCGATTCCTTGTCAAAACCCGGATACTACGGAAAATTAGTTGGACTTCGTAATCAAGTTGAACACAAGCAAGGAGTTAATGCTTAAAAAAACTATTATGAGCGGGTTGTTCAATAGTCACTTAAAATGTAATCTTGGATTAAACTGCAAACCTCGTTGTATAATCATCGGTTAAACTCATGTTAGATAAGCTGAGCATTTTTGCCCTAAAGATTTATTTACTAAACCTTATGATAAAATGTTTCTATAAATATAAAAATTATTTTATAATAAGTGCTTTTATTTTTATTAATCTTGTGACAGGCTCCTGGTTCACCTGCTGTGAATCAACGAGTCTGTGGCGCTATTAATGTAATTCCCGAATAGGAGTTGCTCAGGCGCTAGTTTTGATATCGCAGTTTGCTCTGCGACCCTGTGGTACACCAGAGTGTACTCAAGGTGAACTCAGTGGAGGTAAAAATAATTCCAGGCGGTCACTGCTAGGTTAACACTATATTAGAATAAATAAAAAAAAACACTTATCTTCTTAATACCTCGTACCCTACGGTACCCTGAAAGAGAACGGTCAAGAACCAGCAATAATAGACACGCAGAAATAGATAATAAAATATATATTTACAAAATCTGTTTTAAAATGTATTGGAAGTCCTTCCATTTCATATTATAATAACACAATAATTATAAAAATAAAATCCCTCTTGTCTTCATTACATTCTAACAAAATCCAATTTATATGATCCAATGGCCAGGCTGGGAATAAAGTGGTTGGCAAGTTTTGCTCTTCAAGACATTGTTAAGCTTAATAAATAAGATTTGAATCGGAACGTCTATGGAAAAACTATTCTTTAATGTCTAATAATCCTTATTTTGACATACATCCTGTTTTATTCACAAATTCAAATATTCCACACATTTAACTATATCACGTCAGTAGAATATACACCACAAAAACAAGATTAGAACTTAATTACGCCTTTGAAGCACACCTATTCAAAATCGGTTTAAGAGAATCACCTGATTGTGGCTGTGGTCATTTTTTATGTGATCTGAATCATTTACTCTTCCGTTTTAACAATCGTGCAATAAATAGTAATATTTTAATCAAAAACATAATGGAATTAGGGATTCGCCTAGCAACCAATTTTGTTTCCTTACTTAATAGATAACGAAAAGATTCTAGATTATTTAATTAATTACCTTCAAACTGAAAAAATCAGTATTTAAAACTCAATTAATAATATAACTATTAAAATACAAAATAAAGATACCTTCACAAAATTTAAATAATCTATGGCCAATAGACTAGTCTGAGACCAACCCTCCTCCCAAACACACATATTAAATCATTTAAACTCAATAGTTTATAGTGATGAAATTGATAAACCCAAATAAGACAATTCGAGTCGCAATCAAAGAAATTGTCGAAAGGACAACAATATGTTTTTAGCAGAATGTTTCTCATTTGGAACAATTGTTAGGTTATTTAATTAGTTTGGTTTTAATTGTGTCAGTTAATTTATGAAATAAAATTATTAATAATTTTTTCTAAGTTAACTATATAAGTAATTTTTTATATTAATTCCAAATAACATTCTTAGTTTTTAGGTAGTCTAACTTATAATTTATCGTACAGGCCACATTTTTTGATGAAGGCCATAGTTGAATTGGGTAAGACTTGTTTAAAGTAGGGGTCTCGTCAGGTGAATCCGAAGATCTGGAACCTAGTTCTTTTTAAATCAGAGCAGGTACATAGAATGTGTGGATTCGTCTTCCGCGCTGCAGAATCGACAGTCTGACGTTTGTTGCATGTGGACGACAATGTTCTGTCATCAGCGTAGATCTTTTCCATTCTGAGCAGGGTATCTCTCCAGTTCATGACAACATCTATCCATTTGGAGATAATTCCTTTAGCAGTGCTCTGTGCAATACCCAGGAATGGTTTTGGTCCTATGAACTCAGACTCGGTTCATCTGTTAGCGAGCGAGTCGGCTTTTTCATTGCCCTCCACACGCTGTGTCCCTAAACCCAGATTAAAGTAACTTTATTCTGGGCACCGATACACTCAATAGAGCTTCGGGCAGAAAATTAATCAACTCTCTCGCTCTCAATTCTATAGTGATCATTTATGTTTTGAAGAGCGTGGCCAGATTGCATAGAATTTATTGATGTTAACTCTTTGCTTCTGGTTGAAAAGTCCCACTCCTACTCCTTTTCAGATTTGGAAGCGTGCGTGTGCAGCACATATTCCGCCAGGGATAGAGCTTTACTCCCCTGCTCTATACGTGTTTCTCTGGAATGAGGACGCTGTATGTGTTATCGGGGAACTAGCGAGTATAAGACTTTACCGAGGATATGTGGGTTATTAATGTCACTCACCAACCCCGTTTTATCCCGTTGCAGTTCTTAGTTGCATTGACTACCTACTTTCAGGAATCCATAGGAGACCATCCTCTCCGTTTCCAACAAAATGTGGAGAAAAATTAGATCCAGCACGGCTTCCATGGCTCCCATCGCTGTAGTTGACATTGCCCCAGTGATGGCGAGGCATGCAAACCGCTGGATTCCAGCGAGCTTTGCTCTGGACATATATTAAAGTACCTTGTCCCACCAAACGACGGGACCGTACGTAACTTTAGGATTTACCATGGTTTGGAAAATCCAGTATATCAGTAGAGGACTGAGGCACCATGCTTTGTCGCATATCCTGATGTTTCAGAGGAATAATCTTTGTTGATGGTTTTTTCACATGGAGGTTACAGGTGAGTTTTTTATATAGATTAATCCCCATATATGTCACATTTTCCGCAAAAAGAATGGTGTCCCGGCCAAGCTAAGTTGTCGAATCTTGTCGAGTTTTCTTCTCTTGGTGAGGGGGACGATGACAGTTTTCCGGGAGTTATCAGACATCTGCTCCCTCCCGCACCATCTGTTGATTGCATTTGGGTCTTGTTTAGAGATCATCGCTTTATGCTTCCCCCTAATTATGATAATCGAATCATCTGCATAGCATTGGAAATCTATCCCCTGTCGAGAGAGATCGTCTAGTTATCCACCAGAATTGTCTGGTCTGACAGGTCTGAAAGTGCACTCACTCTTGCTGCAGTGATGAAATGATGTTCCGGTTTCCAAGCATGCTTTAAATCCAGTTACATATCAGTTTTTTGATATATCTTCTTTCAATAGAAGAGAGACTAAAGAGGAGCGTTATTGAACGCGCTTTTCATGACCAGGTAGATTCCTGAAGGACGCGAAATATGCCATCCTCTCCAGATAATTTAAAATGGGAGAATGAATGCATTGCCAAATTCATGGGACTTGGAGAGACAACTTGAATTTTGGTGTTTAATTTCCTTATGTTTAATTATACAGTCTACTTAAAAATTCATAAACACTAACGGTCCTGTAAAATATTTTTAGCATTATAATATTAAAATGAGACCTGAAATAGTAAAATTGAGACAAATGCATAAAAAATTATATTTGCCCTGTTTTATCATACGAATATTATTTTAAATTTCCGAAGTAAATTTAAATTTATATTTTGGGTAGTTTTTGAGTTTTAGCTAAAAAAAAAATCAGACTAAACTGTTAAAACACCCTTTATCCATAGGCGCAGACTTTTGATTATCTCCGTGGGGTGAGGGTTACTATAACGCGGGCTAAAAAAAGGCCCTCACCTCTCTCCGTGGTCCAATTGAATCACTTAATAAAAACAGACACTGTTTTTGGAATTTGCATCGATTACATGCAAAATCTTCATTTGCCCAGTATTCCTATACAAGAAGCCTTTTATTTGAGACAACTTGTTGTGAATGTTTTTTGTATACACAACCTCAAATACAACTCAGCAACGTTTTATCTATACAACGAAGGAATTGCTACCAAGGAACCGAATGAAGTTTGTTCATTTCTGATAGATTATTTGAAAAATATCCCAGAAAATTTTCAAACAAAACAATACAGTCGTAAGATTGTTTATGGCACTAGTTTCTCAGGACAAGTTCCAAACAAAAAATCAGTACTTTCCAATACGAGGACACTCCTTTTTATCATGCGATCGTGACTTTTCTGTTGTCAAAAAAGGTTTGAAAAAAATTTGATCATACATATACCTTTGACTAATACAGAAAACGCATAGTTGAGTGTCCTCGAAAGCAAAAGTTCCGAAAACAAAAGATATTATAGATTTCAAACAGTGGTGGGTGGCCAAAACATTGTTGAAAACGTGCTTATCAGCAGAATCTCAGGGAAAGGGAATCCGTAGAGATCATAAAGTGTCATTCAAGATAAACCAGTTTATGCATTTTACGTATTCGTCTAATACACCTAACAAGGTTACTGCTAGAGATTTTATAGAATGATTGTCATTCCACACATTTCTTTTGCAAATGTAAAAAGAACAAGCATATACAGGCCCTTTATCCATAAATAAAAAAAAGGATAACCTGAAGACATTTCAAAAATATTTAACTGATGATGCTGCTGTTCAAAATTTTGTAGATGAAATTTATGCATTGCCTACAAAGGAAACTGAAGACTAGAAAATGTTACAATATACAGTTTTTTTAAGTTAAACAAGAAAATAATGTTTTTGTTTAAATAAATAAAATATCCGTTTTTAGCAGTTGTTTTTAATTTAAAATCGTGTTTACTTCAGAAACCCTATTAGTCGAGAATTTTCAAAAACATTTTCTAAGAATATATTCAATTCTGTATTACCAAATTCAGCAAAAATCTGTAGTTGCTTATGAGTTTATTGAAACAGAATCATTAAGCGCCGATTCCACCGATGTGTTAAACGGAGATGTTAATGTAAAAATGTCATTTTAAACTTCGTTTAACACAACGGTGGAATCGGTCCTTAGATAGCTTTCTGATAAATTATACAGTTCTTATTGATTTTCTCAAAACTTGCTTTTCGTGACTTATGGGGTTTCTCAAATAAGTGATTCAATTATGTATTCTACTTTTTCGCTGGCTGTTTGTTCGTGCTATTTTAATTTGCCATTGAGCAACTACGGGAAAAAATATTGATTTATTTATGAATTAATACATTTTTTTCATGATATCAATAATTTTGGGTGATTTCGAATAAGTTAAGTGTTCTACACCTACAGTTTACGTAGGTTAATTAGAACCTAACAGTGAATATTTAATTTATTAAATTAAATAAAAATCCCTGCCACCGGTGGGATTCGAATCTAAAACCCTTCGATCTCAAAGTCAGGAGACTCAACCACTATACAATTAGCGGCCATCTCCACCCTGTT